TGGGGACCCTAGCACTGTGGCAAGGCAGGGAGCCCCCCCTTGCCACACTATGGCAGCACCCAGAGACCCACCAACTAAGACCCAATGGTAAGGTAAAGGGAAGCAGTGCATGTGTGTACACACTCACGTCCCCTCCCCCCCACACATACCTGGGTACCAGTACAGCTGGGAGCAGCTGGGAGCAATGTGGTGCTAGAGCAGTGCAGGAGGCAGGAGGGCAGGGAAATGGCTGGAGGTGGGGTGAGGCTGGGGTGCTGGGTGCCTGCTGAGGCTCCCCCTGGGTCCTACTGCCCCTGTCTTCTGTCATCTTTGACAGGAAGCCAGGAGCAGATAAAGTTTTTCTAAATTTTTAAGGGCCCTGTAGGCTGGATAGAATGACCTGGTGGGCCATATGCAGCCCACAGGCCATAAATTGCCCACCCCTGGCTTATATGGTAAGAGAAAGTTGAGTAGATAAAGCTAAGGGGTGACTACTCAGCATGATTTGTGTGGAAGTCTAAGATGAAGGGACTCCCAGCTCAGGCAGCACAAAGAAAGGCTCCAGATTGGAATGGCATTGCATCTCACCATGCAACCAGAGAGGGATGAGTGCTGGTGATATATACATCCCTTGAGTGAGCCCAGTCTGAACCTGCTGCCCACTGAGTCCTAAATTGCTGATACTTTAGGGTGTTAGCAGGTCAGGTAGGAGCCTGCATTTCCCAGATCCTGAAAGAGCTAAGCCTGAATGTAAGAGAGCTGGGCTGCTTCTGCAACCAGCAGAGGAGCTGTGCCACCCCCAGCAGCAGTGGGCAGTGATGAGGAGCAGCATCCCCCAGCAGCGGTGAGAAGCAACAGCAGTGGAGCAGGGCCCCAGTGACAGGGAGACAAATGAAGCCCTGGGCTAAGAGCTGCACTACCTCTACTGGCTGCTCTGTGCACCCTGCCTGGGATGGAGTGAGACCCCTAAACCTACTGACTGCACTGAGTGGTTAGTAGGGAGTTGAGGGGGGCACTGATTATTATGGGGTTCTTACATCTGTCTGTCCCTTTCCTGCATTCATAACCCTCCTTATAGTTTACTATTGCTTGTGAGTGGGGAAGTTCGTTCACATGGGAATACCCAGGCAGAAATTATTTCCCCGTGTTTCTGGGTGGGGGCTTGAGCCAAGTTTGTGTAAAAACCTTCAGGTGAACTGGGTCCGTGCTGCTCCTGTCCAATGCCTGGCAGATGGGTTACAGGGCAAGTAAAAGGCATAACACAGTTTGGGAACAGAGGGTTATTGAACTACTGGATGACTAAACCACAGCCCTGAATGTTCTAGTGAGACCATGGACTGCCTGGTCAGCAAGATGGGGAGCAGGAATCACTGGCAAGGTGGTTAGTGCATTGCTAGCTATGCACTAATTAGATGCTAAATAAACCAAGTGAGTGGAGTGGACTCTCTTGGTTCTCAAGCCGTCTTTCTCTCACAACCCATTGGTTCTCCAGGCCAAGATTTCCCTAATCCCAGCACGAACCATGTACGAAGTGGCGGAGATGGGTGCAGGCCATGATGCAG